AAAAAAAAAAAAAAAAAGGAAGTAACAAAGAGTGACAAGAAGTTAGTGGGATTGTGGTATTTTAATGCGAAGTTACCCATTTGATTGTTGTTACCGTAACCCAAAACAGTGATGCAGATGTCTCATGTTTATATTGTAGAGCTTTAGATCTAGAGCAGAGCCAAGCACTACTTACCGATTACTCACTCGGTTTTACTGGCACTGTTTGCCACCTTCATGACTGGTAACCGTGGCACAACACTACAGCTAATTCTCTAGAGACCAGGAAAACAGTAAGTAGGACAGGAAATTCCCGCAGCCATATAGCGGATCACACGTGCCCAAGATCTGGCCATGCTCCAAGTTCCTAACTGAAATCAGTTCTTTAGTAGATTGGCCTAGACCTTGAGGCTCATTTATCAACAGCACCTACCCAATTGTCCATCAGTGCACCCATAACTGTAATCATCTATGATTCCACTTGATGTTGAAGGGACAACATCTGAGACTGTAAATGTTCTGATGCAGGTAAAGTCATCTGGAAACCACATTATGTTTCTACTTTCTGATGAAGAAACGGACCAATATTACAGAAGTCAAAAGATGGTACTGAGCAAGGAGAGTGCCAGCCTAAAATTGCTTCCCCTCAAGCCACGACTTATCGAGCTCCCGAAAGGAACAAACGGTTATGGCTTTTACCTACAAATGGAACAAAATACTGGTGGTAAGAACTAAGCCAACAACAGGTGCTGTATAGTTTCTTCCTGCATAGGCTTTGCAGACCTTATTCGGCATGTCTGGCTTCTTCTGCTAACCTTTGAGAAATTATTTATAGTCCTGCTTGCAATAGGACTACATCAGGGAAATGGTCTCAACTTGGTGCAGATTGGAAAGTTAGCCTTTATCATCAGAAATGTCTTTAAACTTCCCAGCCATACTCATTCACAAACTACTACTTCCTTCCTTCCTTCTGATCTTAGATCACATAATCAAGGATGTTGATTCTGGGAGCGCAGCAGCCAAAGCAGGTCTCAAAGACAAGGATATCTTAGTGGCTGTCAATGGTGAACAAGTGGAGGCTCTGGACCACGGACAAGTAGTGGAAAAGATCAAGCAGTCAGAGGAGAAAATAACACTCTTGGTAGTAGATAAGGAGACTGACGCCATGTATAAACTGGTAAGGAAATGCAGGCTACTGCTAGGAATTGATAATTCATCATTCAA